AATTCCCATTCTTTGCAAAGGTTATCTATAATGTGTTCTAACCCACACAGTTGAGTGCCTTTACATAGTCACTAAAACACAGGTAGACATCTTTCTGGTGTTCTCTCCTTTCAGCCAAGATCCATCCGACATCGGCAATGCTATCCCTTGGTCTGCATTCTCCTCTTCTGATTTCGGCCTGGCAATTTCCTGTTGATGCACCGTGTAAGTGTGTACAATTACCTTCAGCATCATTGTACTTGTCTCTCCTCTCTCTCACTGACATCGCATCCATTTTGACTCTTGGCAGCCCTATAGGGCAGCATAAAACCATCCCTGTGGGTTTCCAATCATAACTCTTTATCATAGAAAGCCTCATGGGATATGAATTATCCTCATAGATGAGTGTGTGTTTCCAGGCTTGTATCCATTTGTTGAAACATCTCTATTGGTGCTCTGTCAGTTACTGGAGGCTTGTTTTGTGCCCTGGTGGTGTAATGGGCTATATGTTTGGCTATTAAAGGCAAAGCCAGCAATTCAAACCCACCAGTCATTCCTCGGGGGAAAGATGAGGTTTTCTACTCCTGTAAACTGTTATAGTCTCAGAAACCCGTAAGAGCCATTCTATTATGCCCCACAGGGTCACTATGAGTCAGAATGGGCTTGACGGGCAGCGAGTTTTGGTATGTTTTGTGCCAGCTGAATTTTCACAGACAAATTCATGAACCTGGGTCTATAACTGACACAATGTAAAAAAACTGACTCAAAATGTCACAGACCTACACAAATCTCTTAGAAGAAAACTCAGAAGAAATGTTTTAGTGCCTTGTTTTTAACAATGGAGTCTTCACTATGACGCCCGAAAAACAAGCAGCAAAGACAAAATTTGAAAATGCAACTTGATAAAATGTTAAAGTTTTCTTTGTCAAAGGACTCTATGAAGAAAGTAAAGAGGCAATCTATTAGAGAGGGTGGAAACTTTGGGAAATGGTGTATCTCATAAGAATTGAATGTCCAACCTGCCCCTCCCCCAGAAGAATTTACTTCAAAGGACAGCATTAAATCTGCAGCTCCGGGATGTATCTGATCTGAGCACACGGGAGCAGATGAAGGGGGAGGAGGAGAGACTGGAGCACATCCTGGCCCACCAGGCCGTGAAGACGATGTTCCCAATTAGAGC